GGGAGGTGGGGGGGAGAGTCGGGAGGAGGATAGAGGTAACGGGCAAAAGGAGGATAAAGGTAAAGGGGAGGGGAGAGTCGAGGGGTGCAGATAAGAGGGAAGGAGGGGCTGACGTGGTGGGGTCGAAGGGCAGAAGTCCACGCATCAATGATCCTTCCGCAGGTTCACGTACGGACACCTTGTTACAACTTCTCCTTCCACTTAATTGATAAGGTTCGATGAACTTCTCACTGCACCGCCAGCTACAGGCCACCGAAGTCACCACAACTCAGACACTTCTCCTGGCCATTCGATTAGTAGGAGCCACAGACGGTGATAGTGCAAGCAGTGCCCGATCGACGTTGGCAACCAGTAAGAGAGTTGCAACACCTAGAGTAGCGCCTTCTTAGAAAGACGCCTTGGAGAGAGTCACCAACTTGGATGACGAACGTAACTGGTCTCGTTGACGAACCAGGCGCAACTTCAAAACAAGCGTGGAGATGGCTATCCGTGGTGGCAGGATAGCGAGAGGGAGGGAGGGAGGGAGGGAGCAGAGGTTCGAGAACCTGCTCCGATACCAATGTGGCGCACGTACAGGAGGGCATGTGCGAAGATTGTGAGAGAGAGAGAGGAAGGAGATGGACACACATGAGAAACAACAGTTGAGTGAAGGTCCAGTCCGACTGAATCCACGAATGAACAACCCGAAGAATGAAATGAACCAACTGAATGAATGACCAACCTGACCTGGGCCTAGGCCGGAGAGATATATTGACCTCGGTCCAGACCGGGGTCAGGTCGACGGCCTGAAACAGGTTCGGCATCACTGCCGGGCCGAAAGGGTATCGCTACTTACAAGAAGATAGAAGCGTGCTCTGAACAGGTACCCTCCTATCCAAAGGTCCCAATGGGAGAGACTGATGTAGACCCCCGCCTAGCTAGTTGTCTAGAGGTTGCTTGTGTTAGGACCTCTCTAGGTGGTTCCCTCGCAAGCATTGGCGATGAGCTGATTACTCATCGCCGCGCTTGGGCCGAAATGAAGAAGAACTTAAAAGGGTAGCTAATAATAGCAGACATGGTAATAAGTAGAGAAAGGATAGGCGTGTTAGTAGACAATGGGTCAATGCGCCGTTATGTAAGT